GAGCTTTAAAAAAAACTTTTGTTCCATGATTTTCGAAACTTCAAAGTGCTCTCAGAGCTCTTTAAAAAAAAATATCTGTTTTTTTTTTTTTTTTTTTTGAGCTAATGAGTTATTTCTTCTGGTCAATTACTGACTTTTGCTTTATGGGGAGGAGTCAGCGCGCGTTTCTGTAGTATTTCTTGTAGGAGTAAAAGGCATCGACATTGCATGCAACATGATCTCTTGATAAAACGCTGTAACTTCTGTTGTTCCTCCACCAAAATAGCCTAAACAGTGGTTGCGATGATCTTACAGAGATTTTCCTACAGAGCTGCCCCGAGCCCCAAGATTCTGAGGTGCATATCTCTGGAGTTATTACTTGGCGTACATCCGATTTATTCAGCACCACACCTCTTCTTTTTTGGGACAATTGATCGTTTACTTTCTCGAAAGTACCATTCCTCAGTTAAAAAACGCGATGAACTACACCAATTTTGTCGGCAAGAGATTGAGCAACATGTTCTGCTCATCTCATTTTATTTTCTTGCCTATTAGCAGTAATATCGTGTAAGTAGCACATTTGACGGAGAGTCTGATTGTTAGCACGCTTCCTACGGTCACAACCAGAGCTTGCTCTTCAACGTTTGTAAATGCACATTTCTCGCGCATCCATATTTAATAATTACCTTTGGCACAGTGGTTTTGATGAGTTGACCGTGGTCCTTCCGGTTCGCCACTTTGAGGACATCGATATCCGCCTTTCATGAACAGTGAATTTTACCGTAGATGGTAAGTGGACTTTGGTGCATCCGAAAATTCCGTTTAGCCTGAGCTTTCATATGCGTATGTTCCTCGTTAGCTCATTGCCCGTATTTTGTTGCCGAAGCTGGATATTTCTTGGCCCCAATCTTTTTTGTCTTTTAACGCTTTTTAACAGCTTTTAGTTTATTTTGAACTTTTCCCCCAAAAAAAATATATTTCTGTGGTCAGATCTACTGTCCAGTTTTACTAAATTTGGCGTAGTGACTAGTTTTTTCGTTTTTGGTAGAAAAAAGGAAAATACCATTGGGAGAGATATGGGAGAAGCCGCCCTATTACTACTTGCTACGGCTGAAGCGCGCTTGAACCAGGCTGTATATTGTTTCTACCGTGCTATGGGCGAATATACCGGTAGTCCAGGGATCTCAGGATAATCCCTTTATGCTACGATGTTTTACCCGCTTTTGCAGGAATGGCGAATAATTCGTTGTCGGTTGTGCCGCATGATGCTGCTAAAGCAGATAAATCAGAAGCAGCTGCCGTTCTGGTGGATGCGCTCCCATATCTCGATTCTGATTACACGGAAACCGATCGACAAATGGCTATGCAACTGATCGAGGAGGAATGCCGGGTGTTCCGACCCGTTAAAAATTATCTGCAAAACATCCCGCCACCTGATTTTGAC